CGGGCGGGGTGGGGTGCCTGGCAGGGCGCTGGAGGGCAGCGGTGGCTCCCGGGTGGAGTCCCCCGAGCTGGCCAAGCAAGGGGGGGGACTCTGCCTTGTCCCCCCCCGCGGAGCGAGGGGAGCGCCCGATCGCAGCTTTGCTGCGCCGGTGGGGAAGCGGAGGCGCTTGGCGGCAACGGCGGCGGCAGAACGAGCCCGGGGGAGCCGGCTCCCAAGCCCGCTGAAACGGGGAAGTCAAACCGCCTGCTCCCTGTCCCCCCCTCTCCTCTCCGTGCTCCTGTCTGGCCAGACCAGCAGGGTCCGTGTTGTCCCCCCGACACTGCTGTGTCTGTCCCCTTACCCTGCCTCCTCCTGCCCTTCTTGGTCTTCCCTTGACAGAGGAGCTGGCTATGCTGGCTCGCAGGCAACCCTGGCATGACCTGCTGCCTGCCCCCACCAAGGCTCTCTGTTGGTCCTTTCGTTACCCCCACCAGATGGGTGCTGGGCACCATTCTCCCTGCCAATCCTTTACTGAAGCCTCGTTAGAAAAATCCTGTGTCTCGAGTCCCAACTTTGCCATTGATTGGGTTCTCATCCCTGTGAATAATACCGCCTCCGTCACACCGCCTTTGCCCCTGCTAGCCCTGAGTAGCAGATGTGGGAGAGGAACCTTGTTGCCCATGCTCTATTTTTGCTCTGCTCAGAGCAGCTGTCCCTCTCACTGCTAGTCAAGGCTATTCAGAATGAAGTGAAACGCAGGAGCATTGTCATAAACCCATTCACAAAATGGTAGGGTGTGAAACGGTTGCAAAATGCTTCCAAGGGACAACAGAGCCGCAGGGGTGAGTGGCAGCTTCCTGAGAAGATGCTAAATAGGAACTTGGAGACATCCCACTCTGCTAGAGATGCTCTCAATGGCTCCGCGAGAGTCTCTTAGCATCTCAGTGCCCCAGCATCAATGTCACAGTTTGTATATGTCACTTAAGAGACCCTACTTTTACTCTGTGCCTGTTCTATCATGGTCCTGTCTGCAGGCAGGACTGTGCACAGGGGCGTGGATCAGAGATAACCCAGCAGAGATAAAGATTTGTTTCTCTACTGCATCCATGAGTTCTCTGATCCAACCAGTTACAAAGCCACCTCTTCATGCGCGCTGTGTCTCAACTCCCATCTGTAAAGGGGACTGAAGCACTACTTTGTCTTCATGTAGATGGGTCATGAGCCACAGGCGACCAGGGAGAACCTCAAAGCTGTAGCAAGGGTACAATTACCAACCTGCCACCACATCCTTCCTGGCACTCTGCTCCTGGCCACTGGCTGTCCCTGAAAAGAACTCGCCAAGCTCCCCGGATTCCCATTCCTACAGGCTCAAGAAATAAGCTTGGAGCCGAGTTGTGAATGACAATAGTAGTGGCTCCCTGACAGCCAGAAGCAGTTCTTCCAAGTAAAGCATGGGCTGCTCACGAACACATCGAGGGATATAAAATTTGGACTGCAACCAGGCTATGTGATGTGCCACTCCAAAGTGATTTCATTACAAGTCCCACCAATGCGGGGGACATTTGCAGGGTTGCCTTCCTTGAAGTGGGGCATGCAGGTATTCCCTGTCTTTTTGTTCTCTTTAGAGCAGCCTTTGAGGATGGCTGACTAGCAGCTTGTCTGCCTTGCGAGAGAGAGCAAAGAAAGGACACTTGGCAATGAGCAGGTGGGAGAGATGCAGAGTGAAGCAGCCAGAGACTCTACCAGGCAACACAGACACTGGGTGGATGATAAGATGGAATTGGTTTCTGGCTGAGCTGTCAGCTCTTCTCCAGCTTTGCTAATACCTTCCTCAGCCCCATGCAACAAGGATCTCAGTGCCACAGCCTTGCATGGGGCATAATCCCAAGCACAGCCTAAGCCAGTGTAATCAACAAGAGGTAAAAATAAAACACCAGTGGCAGCCTGAGTTGCTCTCCCCTGCATACAGGGAAGCTCCCTGGTCCCAGAGGAGTTAGGCAGCATGAGAAGAGACCAAGGTCCTCAGCCAGACTCTGGGACCAGACCTTCTGGCTGGTCCCCATCCATCTATGTCTCCCACTCCTGCCAGGGCCTGTATAAGCTCCCCTGCTCCCTGCATATCCATACTGCATGGGGTACTCTCTTCTTCAGGTGGCTGCAGGGGTACTTTTGCCTGTACTGAGAGCTGACACCACCATTTGAATTGGCTTTGTTTGAGCACCGAGGCAGATCTAGCAAAAATAAGTAGCGTGCACTTCAGTACTGGCCATCCCAGCTTTCCAGAGGAAAGCTCATCCCTCTCCCACACAAGCAGCATTCATGGAGCTCAAGCTTACTATAAAACAGAAGCTAGATGTAAAATTTCTGTGCTGCACCTGCCACAAGGCAAATTCACATTCAGAACAACTGAAGCCATCCCTGTGAAATCCCCTCCGCTTCAGGATGGGTAGATGCTTTTAGAGCAAGCCACACATTCACAAATGAGGTGCAGTGACCTTTTGGGTCCCAGAGAGTAGAGTCCAGCTCCCAGATAGCAGCATGAGCTTCCTGCTGCCCATCCAGAGGAGAGGCTGCCATGCCAGGTAGGGTATTTGACTTGTCCCAAGTGTTGGGCAGTGCACAACAGGCCAACCAAAAGACCACATCCTGCTTCCTAAAATTTATGAACCTTTGGCACTTGCCTCTGGGGATACTTGCAACTGTACAGGAATGGTCTCATTATAGTTGTGGTAGCATTGAACAGGGCCTGGTGTGATTCCAGGCAGCTTGCTGGCATCCCCAAATCTGCACTGACACCAGGGACCCATGTTCACATGCCCCTTGCAGTGCTTCTGCTTCAGGCACTTGCACTGCCAGTGCTCCCCAGGGAGCACTTGCTAGTTCCCCAGCCTGAAAAGAGAATGCACAAGCTAGAAGCTAGTTTCTTGCACAGACTCTGCGATCTCCATACTTATGGTGAGATGGCCTTGGGCCACAATCTGGTAACCACAGCACATCCCTACAAGCACTGCAGAGGGGGAAGAACCCAAACCATGTGTTTATTCAAGGGAAGCTGTGCCTGTACCTGTATGTGATAGTCCCCCAGCTCCAGAGCTCAAAAACATGTAGACAGATTTCTATGCCTGTGACAGGGAAACTTGCATTTTCACGCACAACCTCACCCTCTGCTTTCAGTCCAAATGCTTATTTTGGGGGTAGGGGAATGATAGAAAAAGCCCAAGTCCTGGGCAGAGCTTGCCTGTGGAACATAGAAAGGGAATAAGCATCTGGGTCACTGAAACCAAAGCAGGAGTGGTCCCATCAGAGCTGTTCTCCTCAGAAAGTCCCCACATAGGCACAACATGGAGCTGTGTAGTAGCTGTCACTGCCAAAAGCATTTCCAGCCCTGTGCCTAGTGTGCGAGGTTTATTCTAGGAGCAGGTACCAAAAGAGCCAGGAGCAGGGGAGGGATAAAACTCTGCATGTCAGCATTGGGGGAGCAAACATCTTGGCTTGTCCAGCTGGTTGGTTTGGGCCTGGAGCCCCATTGCTGTGAAGGAACATCACACCACTCCTGCCATCACAGCTGGACCAGCTGGGAGGTGGAGATTCTGACTCCATTCCCCCACAGAGGAGGAAGCTGGGGACAGATGCCATCCTCTCCCCTAAACCTCACCTCTGGCACTATCAGTCCAAGGCAGCATCTGAACATGGGCTGTGGATTCATTCCAGGGCCGGAATGGGGGAGCAGGGCACCCCTTACCCCCAGCCTAACCCTACCTGTCCTCTAGGCCAGCAGCGTCCAGAGGAACGTGCTGAAAAGAGGTGGGTCACAGAGCTGAAAACAGGGCTCTGCACCTCCAGTGAGCCAACAGGCACATCAGCCAAGCTAACAGGCTGAGCAGTGTTTTTCCAGTCTCTCACATCTTTCCCTGTATTTGCCCCAGGGTCCAACGTCTCACCACGACACAGAATGACAGAGCATGAGGACTTCGTGAGCTTGGCTGGGTACTGGAACTCTTCCAACAGTTACCAGTTCAGCCCTGCCAGTGTCATTGTCCCTGTGGTCTTCTCCCTCATCTTCCTCCTGGGCACAGTGGGCAATAGCCTGGTGCTGGCAGTGCTGCTGCGCAATGGGCAAATGGGCCACAACACTACCAACCTCTTCATCCTCAACCTCAGCCTGGCTGACTTCTTCTTCATTGTCTTCTGCGTGCCTTTCCAGGCCACCATCTACTCCCTTGAGGGGTGGGTCTTCGGCTCCTTCATCTGCAAGGCTGTCCACTTCTTCATCTACCTCACCATGTATGCTAGCAGCTTTACTCTGGCTGCCGTCTCTGTGGACAGGTAACAGTCTAAAGACACCTTTGGGCTGGGGAAGGAGGGTAGTCTGAGAAGCTGGGCTGAGTGAGGGCATGGGAAGATGGTGGCCCACCACCATTAGGCAGATGTTTCAAACCCCAGTGGTATTGATCCATGCCAAAGGCAGTTTGGGGACCAGTTGTGTCTCCCTTGCCCTAACAACCCCTAAGCAGCACTTCCAGATCTCTCGAGTGCAAAGCTGGTGCTGTGCCTGTCTGCACTTTCTGCAGGAAAGACCTGCCTTGTGGTTAGAGCACTTGAGACCCAAGCTCAGCTCCCCACCGTGCCACAGACTCCCACTGAGAGTCACCTAGTTCTGTATTAGAGATGCCACTCAGAGGGTAATAGCTATCCCCAAGCCACCATTTCAGAAAAGCATCATGTGCAGGCAGTAAGGTAAACAGAGGGCTCTGTAAGAGGAGCCATATAAATACCTGAGAGATCCCAGTCCTGCAGTAAACCCATCTCTCCTCATTCCCCAGGGGCTGCCAGCCCAGCACAAAACTTGTCATCTAGCAATTCCTGTTCCCCACCACCGCCAACCCTCCTGCACTCTCCGCAGAAAGGCAGCCACACTGTGAGCCGAGTCCTTTCTTGGGAGGTCACCCAGGACACTCTGGCCCTGATTGGGGCCACCTACATTGTTCCCAAGGGCACTGTAAGGGCCACTGTGTCAGCTGCCCCGCTTGTGGCTGAGCCAACACTTATGGTCCAGATGAGGATGAGGTCGCCACTGGGGTAAGCTCCAGCCTTGACTGCCACAGGGAACATGCCCTGGCCCATCTTGTTCCTTGTGCTTGCTTCCAAGGTACCAAGACAAGAATAGGGCCAAACAGCCCTCTGCAATGAGAAGATTCACAGCACTGCAGGCAGAAGGAAACTTCAGTACCAGGGAGTATCTGGGGTAGGTTAGATCCCAGCAGAAAGTGTGGTTGGGCTACTCCTCCAGCCCCCTTCCACTTTGTCCTGCTCCCAGGTGCCACCTGCAGAAATGGGCACCTAGACTCAAAACAGTGAACTGACACTTCAGCAATTCACCCACCCAGAGGTGCCAGCATCCTCTGGTTGGGGTGAGGGGGTTCACATAGAATCCCTGACAAAAATATCCCAATCCTCTGGGATTCCAGTGGTTACAGAGTTTGGCTGCTGTCACGAGGAAGACCTGAGATGTCTCACAGTCTAAGCCTCTTGCTTCCCTGCACCTACATCACATGAGTGCAGTCTGCATCTCCAGCCAGCTCAGCACCGGGGACAGCATCTCAAAAAAAAGATATTTTGGCAAGGTGCTAATGTCTGTGTTCTCTCCCTTTCTGGTGGCACTGTGTGCTGTAGTGCAGTGCTCCACCAAAGAGGTGGCTGCATTTCAGTGTGACATGAAATGATTCTCACAAAGCTGCCAGCAGCTTTCAGGATGACAAGACCAGCAAGTAACAAGGGTTTTGTCACACATGTGACCCTTCACACCAACTGCATGTCTTATCTACCTGTTCTGCTGGCCTTACAGTGCATCAAATAAGCATCCTTCTGTAGACGCTGGCAGGCTGAGGCTGCAGCAGTTGCACTCCTGTCTGTGCTGACAGCTCCTCTCCATTCCCTACCCACCTTCTCTCCTTGCTGACATCTACATCTTTGCCCTATGGTGTTGCCTGGAGGTGGGGGAGCAGAGCTGGCCATCACACCATAACTGCCCACTGTTGCTGGAGGGAGCAGACAGACCATCACTGCCTGCTTTGGGCTGGCCTGAGAAAGCGGACAGTACCAAAAGGCAAGGGCCAACCTGGTCCCTTTGGTACTAAGGTGGAGGCAGCCACAGCTCCAGTGAGCAAATCTTCCCCCTGCCAGGCTGATCTGAAACCTGGAGAAGGCTGGAAACATGCCTTCAGTGGGCAGGAGCCTGCATTGTGCCCATCACCCAGTGAAGCTTTGCCAGATCTTGAATCCTCAGTTCAGACCTCTTGCTGCTGGATAAATTCTGCCAAGCAGTGGGCATCTGCATGGTCTCCACAGCACCATCTCTCTGGCCCTAGCTCAGCAATATAACCCACCCAACCATGTATGGAGGGGTGAGCCAGCCTAAGCCTGTGGGAGGAGAAGCATCCTTGCTAGAAAGAGAAAAGCTGCTTTACCCAGAAGCATATGTCAAAGAGTGTGTGAGATAACTTGCAGGGCCACTGCTCAGGGACCTTCAGGAGAATGAAGGTGGTGTGGTTTAACCCCAGCCAGCAACTAAGCACAATGCAGCTGCTCGCTCACTCCTCCCCGCTCCCAGTGGGATGGGGAAGAGAATCAGAAAAAAAAGTGAAATTCATGGGTTGAGATAAGAACAGTTTAATAAATAAAATACTATAATAGTAATAATAATAATAATGTAATAACAATAGTAATAATTGTAATGAAAAGGAATATAACAGAAAAAGACAAATTAGACCGAAGAAAAGATAGGTGACGCACAGTGCAATTGCTCATCAGCTGCTGACTGATGTCTGAGCAGTGATCCGCCCCTCCTGGCCAACTCCCCCCAGTTTATATATTGAGCATGACATTCTGTGGTATGGAATATCCCTTTGGCTAGTTCGGGTCAGCTGTCCTGCCCACGTTCCCTCCCAGCTTCTTGCACACCTGCTTCCTGGCAGAGCATGGGAAACTGAAAAATCTTTAACTTAGAATAAGCCCTACTTAGTAACAACTAAAATATCAGTGTGTTATCAACATTATTCTCACACTAAATCCAAACACATTGTACCAGCTACTAGGAAGAAAATTAACTCTATCCCAGCTGAAACCAGGACAGAAGGAAACTCTTTTGTCCCCGGAGTTTATGTGGCCAGGCAGAGCTTGGCTGAAATCTCAGTGCTGGTTGCTTTCCTCTCCCCTCAAGGTACCTGGCCATCCGCTATCCGCTGCGCTCCCGGGAGCTGCGGACCCCCCATAATGCAGTGGCTGCCATGGCTGTGATCTGGGGCCTCTCCGTGGTCTTTGCTGGGCCCTACCTAAGCTACTATGACCTGATTGAGTGGGAGTCCAGCTACATCTGCATGCCTGGCTGGGAGGAGTGGAGACGCAAGGTTATGGACACCAGTACATTTGCCTTTGGCTATGTCATCCCAGTGCTGGTCGTCAGCCTCTCCTACACCAGGACCATCAAGTACCTGTGGACAGCAGTGGACCCCCTGGAGGACATATCAGAGTCCAAGAAGGCTAAGCGGAAGGTAACCAAGATGATCATCATTGTAACCATCCTTTTCTGCCTCTGCTGGCTACCCTACCATGTAGTCATCCTCCGATACCTCTACGGAGACTTCCCCTTCAACCAGGCCACCTATGCCTTCCGCCTGCTTTCCCACTGCATGGCCTATGCCAACTCCTGCCTCAATCCCATCGTTTATGCCCTGGTCTCCAAGCACTTCCGCAAGGGCTTCAAAAAAGTTTTCAGCTGTCTCTTGAGGAAAAAGCACCGCAACAAGGTGCATGTGGTGCACGCTGCCCACATTGTACCTGGATTTGAGGCAGGCTCCACTGAAGTGTCCCAGATGCATGAGGAGAATAACAGGTGCGAGCTGAACCCAGCCTCCATGCCAGTCCCCTCCAGTTCCTCCAAGCCCCTTCATATTTCTTAGTGGCCAAGCTCCACACCATCTGCCGGCTTGGCTGTGTCACCAGCTTCAGGCAACCCTTTCCCACTGGGTGAGAGAGGATGCTGGAAAGGCAAGCCAGAAACTGCTATGCACTGCTTCTGGCCTTGTTGTTCCTTCCCATTCCATGCACCAACTGTTCTCCTGAGCCATCTCCCCGCTATATGCTACATGCAAAGGAAGGAATGGATCCAGACTTGCCCCTGATCCTCAAACCACCTGGACTCCAAGGACTAAAGCTCCAGCTCCTCTGTTGGCTCTCATCCTTCGAACTCCTCTGCTCCATGGCCCCACTGCTCTGGACACATTGGTTAGTTGTCAAAAAGTTCCTTCTGCCTCCCAGTGCCCCATCTGGCCAGACTGGCTCCCACAGTAGGAATGGCAAGGGACATGGGCAGTGCAGGCAGGGCCAGGCAAGCAAAGGTGGTATGGAAAGCACCTGGCACAGCCCATGGATGGTTGCAGTGATAGCTTTGGTGCTGGCTGCGCTGCTTTCCCAGTGACTGGGCCCTCCCCTGGGATGTGGGCTCGTTGCATGTGTGGGATGCTGCTGCTGTACGTACTAGAGAAATGTCTTTCTAACCCAGAGCAAATAAATGCACTTCCCTCATCCAGGCAATAGTGGGGCCTGCGGTCGTCATCTGGGGTGGGGATGGGCTACCCCATACCTCAACGGGACTTTTTTCTTAACTGGTATAAAGTACAGTGCACCATGAAAACCAGCACTGAGCAAAGTCTGCAGAGCCAAACCCTACCTGGTGTCTCCACTCCTTTCTCCACAGCCATGTTTACTGACACAGTCGACAGGTCCCTGTGCAGGTCAGTGCACACCCGATATTCTCCCAAGGTAAATGACCTCCACCCTCCACAGTTACGAGTCTACTGTCAGTGCATAAAAGCAGCTTTATCTGACCACCACACTTCAGAGGGCCCACGGGCAGGCGAGGAGCTAGTGGGCAGAGGCAGGGTTAAGTGTTTAGTTCAGTTATGGTTCCTCCTGCCTGCATGGCACAGTCTTTGTGCAGGGGATTGAGGCGGCTTGCTCTCCATAGTGGAGCAGATGCTCTTCAGGGCATGCTGAATCTCATCTCACGATCTAAGCATGCACTTGACCCCCTGGAGCTTCAGGAAGGAAAACTCATCTCCCTTACCACGGCTGATTAGATGCAAGTGGGTACCTTCCTCTCACTGCTAAATCGCTGGCAATCATAGAATCATAGAATATCTTAAGTTGGAAAGGACCCATAAGGATCATCGAGATCAACTCCCTGCTCCTCGAAGAACTACTTAAAACTAAACCACATAACTAAAAGTGTCATCCAGACACTCCCTGAACTCTGACAGGCTTGGTGCCATGACCACCTCCCTGGGGAGACTGTTCCAGGCACCAGCCGCCCTCTCTGAAGAACCTTTTCCTAATGTCCAGTCTGAACTTCCCCTGACACAGCTTCATTCCCTTTCCTCATATCCTATTGCTGGTCACCAGAGAGAGGAGATCAGGACCTCCCCCTCCGCTGCCCCCCTTGAGGAAGGTGTAGACTGCAATGAGGGCACCCCTCAGCCTTCTCTTCTCCAGGCTGAACAAGCCCAGTGACTTCAGCCGCTCCTCATAAGTCTTGCCCTCGAGACCCTTCACCATCTTGGTTGCCCTTCCCTGGGCACACTCTCATAGTTTGATGTCCTTCTAATATTGAGGCGCCCAAAACTGCACACAGTACTTGAGGTGGGATCACACCAGTGCAGTGCAGAGTGGGACAATCACCTCCCTCAACCAGCTACCTACGCTGTGTTTGATGCACCCCAGGACATGGTTGACCCTTTTGGCTGCCAGGGCACACTGTTGACTCATATTCAACTTGCCATCATCCCAGACCCCTAGATCTCTTTCCACGGGGCTGCTCTCCAGCCTCTCATCCCCCATTTTGTACATATAACCAGGATTACCCCGTCCCAGGTGGAGAATCCGGCACTTGCTCTTCTTGAATTTCATATGCTTGGTGATTGCCCAGCTCTCTAGCCTATCCAGATCTCTCCGTAAGGCCTCTCCACCCTCGAGGGAGTCCACAGCTCCTCCAGTTTAGTATCATCAGCAAACTTACTTAATGTACATTTGATTTCTGTGTCCAGATCATTTATAAAAGCATTACAGACCACTGGCCCTAAAATTGAGCCCTGGGGAACTCCACTGGTGACTGGTCACCAGCCTGATGTAATCTCATTTACTGTAACTCTTTGAGCCTGACCCATCAGCCGACTGCTCACCCAAGGTAGTATGGTCTTGTCTAGCTGTGTGCTGGACAGTTTGTCCAGAAGGATACTGTGAGAGACAGTATCAAAAGCTTTGCTAAAATCCAAAACCACCACATGTACTGGCTTCCCTTGATCAACTAGATGGGTGACCTTGTCATAAATGGAAATTAAGTTGATTAAGCAAGACTTTCCTCTCATGAACCCATGCTGGCTATGACCAATGATTGTGTTGTCCCTCAAGTGTTTTTCAGTAACTCCCAGAATAACCTTCTCCATAATTTCACCAGGCACTGAAGTAAGACTGACAGGTCTGTAATTACCTTCTTACCCTTCTTGAAAACTGGGACAACATTTGCCAGCTTCCAGTCAACTGGGACCTCTCCAGACTCCCAAGACCATTGAAAAATAATGAATAGAGGTCCTGCGATGACATCAGCCAGCTCCTTCAGTATCCTGGGATGAATCCTATCAGCCCCGTAGATTTAGGTGCATCCAGCTGGAGCAGCAAGTCTCAAACAAGTTCAGGGTCAGCTAGGATTTTATCATACCCTCAGTCATGGTCTTCCAACACAGGGCTCTGGTGGCCCCAGAGCCCATCATGGGTGTTAAAGACAGAGGCAAAGAAGGCATTAAACATCTCTGCTTTTTCTGCGTCTCTATTTGTGAGTTGACTGACCTCATCAATGTTACCTCTGGTTCTCCTTTTGCTGTTAACATATTTTAAAAAGCTCTTTTTGTTGTCCTTCACAGTGCTGGCCAGCTTGAACTCTAATCGAGCTTTGGCCACACAAATTTTCTCCCTACAGTGGCGAACAGCATCCCTGTGGTCCTCCCGTGTTGCCTGTCCTTGCTTCCAATGTCTGTACGCTTTCTTTTTCTGCATAAATTCTGAAAGATGATCCCTGCTCAGCCAAGCCGGCCTTCTGCCATACTTGCATGACTTCTGACACTTTGGAATTGCCTGCTCCTGCGCTCTTAAGAGATGGCTCTTAAAAAGTGACCAGCATTCATGGACCCCAATACCTTCAAAAGCAGATTCCCAGGGGATCTTACTGACTAGCCCCCTCAGCAGCCTGAAGTCTGCTCTCCCCATATCCAGCGTTGAAATTTTGCTGGCAGTTTTTCTCCTATCACCAACACTTTGAAACTCAACTACTTTGTGGTCACTGTGACCAAGCCAGCCACCAATCACCACTTCACCCACGAGTCCCTCTCTGGTTACAAACTACAAATCTAGGAAGGCCCCTTTCCTAGTTGGCTCCCTCAGTACTTGTACCAAGAAGTTACCTTCAATGTGCATCAGAAATTTCCTGGACCTGTTTGTGTCTGCTGTATGATATTCCCAGTTGATGTCTGGGAAGTTAAAATCACCCATAAGGAGAAGGGCAGTTGATCTAGAGATATCCCTTAATTACTTGTAGATAATAATTCATCGGTGTTGTTGTCCTGGCTGGGTGGTCAATAGTAGACTCCTACAGTAACATCTGCTTTATTTGCTTTCCCCTTCATCCTTACCCAGAGGTTCTCAACCAAAAGCCACTCCAGCTGACTGAGAAGCCAAGGAACACTTGATCTGAGAAACATATTTCTCATTGTGACTGATGGTAACTCACAACAGCCAAGCTTTATGAGGCCAAAATCTGCAAGTGTGAGACACTTCCACACCAGAGGCTAGCACCTAGGCAGTCAAAACTGGGAATAACTTACCACTCCTTCCTTGCTGTGCTCAATATAGTCCAACCAACTCTCCTCACTAACTCAGGGGCTACCCTACCTTTCCAACAGATGATCCCAATCTCATAGACCTGGGCAAACACTGGGGTAATGCATACCTTCCTTCCAGCTCTAGCACTGGGACCTGTACAGACCAAAACATGTCTGGGCCTCAAAACCAGCCTGCTACATTCTCCTCATACCTTCCCAGTCCCATTGGCAAAGCCCTGCCACTTGTCCAGCATTGCTACCAGCTCCATTGCAGAACAGCTTGGAAATCCCAGCTATGGTCCCCCACTACACATGCACAATGCTGTAGGAACCCAGAGCAGAGGTGGTCCCTGTCCCAAAGAGCCTACACTCCAACCACAGCCAGGCAGCAAGAGTCTGGCTGGCAGAGCAGGGTATCCAGGGCAGCAGCTTGCCCAGCAAGCATGAGTGCACTTGCATGTTGTGCACTTCCAACAATGGAGTGCCCTCTCGCAAGTGCTTCTGGCAAGTCCCCATCTTGATTCTTAAGGAAGCTTCTCAGATATGCATGCTGAAACCCCTGGCCCTGGTACGAGGCCTTACTTTCTTCTGTCCTCTGTGAAAAACATGTTACTCTCCTATCCTTCCCTGCTCCTCCACCATCAGGGCAGCCTTTTGAGGCTCCCTCTGGTAAGGCAAAGGGGATGAACAGTGATTTACTCCCTTTCATTCACAAAAGAGTTGGATTCAACAAGCTAGAGATCAATTTTCAGCCTGTTTGATACAGGACTCTCAGGATTTGCTCTTGGCTGCTGTAGTAAATTCACCCAATGGTGAGTGCCATAAACAAACTACTTTTATTGGTTTTGTTCCTGCCAGGCAAGGAATCCCCTGGCACCTCTGCCAGGCAGCTGTAATTAGTGACAGAGAGCTCCCCCCAGCCCAGAAATACTTAGTCAATACTCACAAAACAACAGAAAACCAGTAGCCACTCCAAGGTTTACAGGTCCCACCTCTGCCAAGTCATACCATGCCTGGTGCATCAACAACATCGGACTCAGCTCAGGAGCAAACCAGGCAGAGGAAACCTTGGGCTCAGGCGAAGAGGAACCAGATGCTACATGAGGCTGTTCTTTAGTCCCACTGAGCCCTTGCTAATGAAACAGGATCTTCCCCTTCCACTTTAAGCAGCTGCCTCCTTCCAGTCTGATCGACTGTAAAGGGCCTAAGCAGGAGATGGGGGCTCTTTGGGGCTCCTGATGGGCATTTTATCTGGTATCACCTGGTGGTGCCTGCTTTGAGACCAATGTAACTCACGCACAGCAGGCAACCTCTCCTTTGGCCGATCACCAAGGGTTGCTGTTTCTAGTTCAGGCTCCGAGGTCATGCACACGTATGAGTTTTCCAGGAGACAACTCCAGTGCAGTCCCTCTGCATCCCATCCTTCATTAGTGTTAGTGAAGTTCTGCAGCCAACCACATTTCTCCAGCTAACCACACAGCCTCCAGCTGCTCCATCTCATCAGGAAACAACTTCTCTGCCTCACCTTCATCATTAAGGAACCAGGTTTGATTTTCCTTGGCTTGAGTCAGGTTGATAGCCATGGCCTTTAGCAAAGCTCTAGTTACCGCTAGAGCTTTCAAAGCAGAACTCTTCTCCTGGGCAAAAAAAAAAATTTAAAAAAAAATTCTGTGCAGGAGCCACCAGACAAGAACTTATCAAACTGGGATGCATCTACCATTGCTCATTAGCTCTGCTGGTGAGCTCCAGGCATAGAAAAATGTCCAGTACAAGAAAGACAGGTGCTGAGCAGTAGCTGCATTTTAGACTTCTTGCTCTCTGAAGGAAGGTGACTGCAGATTTTCCAAGGAGTTCATCTGGACTTGTTCTCCTGTAGGATTCACTCTGTCACACCATCCCCCAGAGAAGATCATTGTGTCCCTAGATCTCCTTCACCTAAGCCTGCTATCTGCATCGACCCTGAGGAGCACACACTGAGTTCAGTTGCTAATGGCTATTTATTTCAGACACTTTGCTGTCAAGCTAGTGCTGCAAGTTACCTGGGAGTTGATGGGAGGAGACAAAGTGGGATGGATGGAGTTGGAGCCTGGGGTATCAACCCTGGCTGGGAAGAAAGCAGCCCCCTATTTACAATGCACACAGATGTTTAAACCTGTGTCTGCATTTGCTCAGATAAAGGAAAAGCTGTTCCTCTCAAAATAGAAATCCACATTTGTTTGTGAAGATCAAAAGAGAGCATTTCAGAAAGACATCACAGCAAGATGGAGAAGACACTTCATTAAAGAGTACCTAATTCTTTTTAAACACAGAAATGCTCTGAAGATGCTCCCCAAACTGACTGAAAATTCAGCTTGCAGCACAAGAAAAGGTCCTGGTGTGCTCAGACCAGGAGAGACGTTTCAAATGTGATTTGGATGGAAAAGTTCAATCTAAAGTAACTGTGGATTTGTTCCTACCAAAAGAAAACTGGATTTAGTTTGTTTTGCAGAAGGGAGATAATTTCCTTCCTCCCAAACCCAAAAGCTGGCAGAAAATGTTTGCTCCCTTTATAGATCCCAGCTCAGCTACAGTCATGCTCGGTCTTTAGTGAAAACCCAGTCACAGAAGTGCATTATCCCATGCAGCTAGCCACCTTGCCCCTTGCATAAAAATCTCTGCTAGCAGATGCAGCACTGTCCTGGGTACAACAGTGATAGAACTTGAACTGGCGCCCAGCAATTTCCTCAAGATCAACATCTTCGACCTGCAGACCAAGGGCGTGGGTTGCACCAACTGTACTAGCCACAAGTTCCAGAGGCAGCATACAACAATCCAACACCTCACACCATCTCTCTTATCCTGAAGAACTGTTACAACAGATGGAGCCCCAAAGTCATGGACTAAATAAAATTGATGGACACATTAGAGGGATAGCCCATCGACTAAGGGAATACTATTTGTGTGTGTGTGTGTGTGTGTGGTGGGAGGGTGTCCATATACTTATATATAAGACAAGGAAAATGGTAGTGGTTGATTGGAAAACGTAAGAACTGGGCATGATGTAGGTGGTATAGAATAAGGGGTGGATAATGTCCTGGGTTCAGCTGGGATAGAGTTAATTTTTACAGGAACCTGGGCAGTGGGGAGCATAGCCGGGGCAGCTGACCTGAACTAGCCAAGGAGCTATTCCATACCATGTGCCATCATGCTCAGTATATAAATGGGGAGCAGGCCGGGGGGTGAGCGGTTCCCTCGACTTTCGGTGGGGGAAGTGGCGGAGCGTCAGGTTCCGGGTGGTGAGCAGTTGCACTGTGCATCACTCTTTTTGTGTACTCTTTCGTTAGTACTGTTGTTGTTGTAACCTTTTTTTTTTGTGTGTTGTCCCAGTAAACTGCCTTTATCTCAACCCTCGAGGTTCCAGGTGTTGTTTTTTTTTCTTTTCTCTCCTCCGTCTCCTCCCTATCCCACCGGAGGAGTGAGCGAGCGGCTGCGTGGTCCTTTGTTACCGGCTGGGCTGAAACCACGACAAGCAGTCAGAAAGGGGCACATGCAGGGATTTCAGGAGCCTGCCATATCTAGGCTAGGCTCCCTCCACAGAACTCCTGGCGGGTACTGACATGCTCTGCCTTCTGCATGGTCTAGAGGGGCTGAAAACAGCCCTGCACCCCAATCCGGGTAACAATGCTGAGCCAGGATGGCAGATGGAGGGCAGGAGGCTACAGTGAGAAGCAGAGGCACATGTTCTGGTTTGGATGCCTTTCTGCATCAGCTGCTGTAATAAATAAAGCAATTGTGTTTACTGCAAACTGGGCCCAGCCACCACTTGAAAGCTCTCACTGAAGAGAAGCAGTTAAGCCCTATCTCCCGTACATGTCCACAGGATAGCACAGGCTTTGTTGTTTGGCTTGAGGCAGACAGCAGACCTAGTTTCCCATATGCCTTGGTCACACACAGCTCTCAGGAAGCTCTGGAGATGACGAGAAAGAGCTGCCCCAGGTCCCCTGGGTGCATGACTGGCATGGTTCTGCTGTCTTGCTAACGTGAACCACACAAGCAATTATGTCCAAATGCAAAGATTTTCATCAGGGGTGAAAATCCACAGATATTCTGTAGGTATCACCTATAGCTCCTGCTACAGAGACTCAGTGGTGGGCTGACAGGTGGCTTTGTACCTACTGAGTTGCTGCCATTCCTCTATTTTTCTTGTTCCTGCCCTCCCTGGAGAGAACCAGCTGCTCCAGCTCCTCTGTGCCGGGGAAGGGGTGCTCAAACGGGGGCCAGGGCCCAGCAGAGACACAGAGGGGCAGCAGGTGCACTTGCTGTCATCAGGTTTGGTGCCATAGCTGTGCAATCACCTATTTTACACAGCACCCTCAAATTCAATCCCCATGTATGGAGCAATTGCAGTAAGGCGAGCTCCATAATGACCAGGCTTGATTACCAGTAATCAGGCACTTACCTGTTGGCTCAGCAATTAGAACCAAATCAGACACTGACCCAGAAAAAGGAAGGGGAGTTTCCTTCCTTGGGGCATCCCATGCAAAGATTTAAACCCTGCCAACCCCTGTGGCCCAAAGTACCTCTCTCCAGAGCATAGTCACCTGTACAAGTGAGGTCCCCATTCTGAGCCCAGGCACGTGGACCACCAGCCAGCTCCACGTGGGGCTGTGTCTGGGTGCCAGCTCTGGGGCAAACCCCCACATGGGGCTGTGGGTCTCAGGGGTCCGGGTGCCAACAGCTGCAGAGACCTGTCCTGAGCATGGTGGGGGATGACTAGCAAACCTCAGGTCAGAGTAGCCAGCAAGTAGAACAGGCAGAGCTGTGAAAGTGGTGTTCCAAGCATCAAGCTCTAAAAATCAAGATTCTAAATCAGGATTTGAGGGTGCCAACAAAGGTGCCCCCTCCTATCTGTGCTAGTCTGTCTGTGGCTGGGTGTATCTGTGCATACTTGTGCTCATTCCTGTGAAGATTTATCTTGGTTTTACCAACTATGAAGTTATTTTCTACTTGTTTTCTGGTCATTCAGTGGGTTTTTTTAAGGCATGGAAGATACACAGGCTAGGGGAGGTCTGAGGGACTTTACTTCTGTCAGCAGAGAGGTTTTTCTCCTAGAGTAAAAATCTCTCCTCAGACTGCCCTTGTGCCAGAGCTAATGGGGTCAGATGACCAGCAATATTAAATTACAGAGAAACAGGCTCAGTTATTTAAAACCTGGCCGGCACGGCCTCCACCACCTCCGTAAAGGGCTTCCCCAGCCAAGGGCAGCTTCCACTGCCTGCAATGCCTTCATCAGCTCTCTCTTTGCCTGCATGTCTCTCTCCTTGGTTTGAAGGATCAAACCAAATCAGCAGGTCTCAGACTTGACTCTCTGCTCCCAGGCGGTGCTTCCAGGTCTGGCCTGAGCGCCTCACCCCCCAGGAGAGAGCACTGCCTTTCAGTGGGTTTTGGTCCCTGTGGTTGGTTCTGTATTATTCCCACATTAGCAAAGGGCTTTCCATTGTGCAAGTAGTCTACAAGAGGATTAATCTCCAAAAGAACTGAGTTTGTTCACAATCCCAGTTCAGTTCCCACCAGAAAAGAACATGCAGAAAGGTGACCATATTAACATAGGATCTGTACGAAAGTCAGTGGTGGGTGCTAATGGTCTACCACCTGTCTTGCATGCTCAGTTCAATTGACACTGTTTCTTGAACTGCAGTAATTCAATCATCAGCACATTCAGAGGAAGAAAATGGAAAAACTTCTTAATACCCATTAGAGATAAAAGGGACAGAAATTGGTTAGGAATAAAATAAATCAGGACAGTAACAAGCTCTGAGATTTAAAAGGCTGTTCCTAATGGTGGAGAACACTTTGTACAGTCCATGAGTAATTTTATGTTTGGCTGTTTGCTCTGACTGATTTTCACTTATTTTTGTTTTTCTTTCTAAACACGACAGAGAGCAAGATTGGGCAGAACATCTGAAGTGAACGGAGCTCCAGGAAGCATGTTTATTTGGGAAGCGTGTCTATTTTTGATAGAAATCAAACTAGATGCCTGCCTAAAGCCATGGAGAAGTGCCAGCAAAGGCCCAGCACAAAGGGGAGTCCCAGTGCATGGTGCCCCAGTGGAAAACACAAACAAGCTGGTCATAACAGGGCTTGACTGGCTTTCTCATTTGTATTGATTATCGGGGTGTCATGGTTTAACCCCAGCCAGCAATTTAGCACCATGCAGCTGCTCACTCACTTCCCCCCCCCCCCCCCCGGGGGGGGGGGGGGGCAACGGGGAAAAAAAA